GAATTCCCCAGCCAGCTTCCTGGCTGGGGAATTCTGGGAGTTGAAGTCCACACATCTTAAAGTTATCAAGGTTGAGAAACACTGTCTTAACCACTAAATCACATTGGATCTAAACCACCTTATTTTTTTTACTCCGGAGAAAGTTGGATGTGCTAATTCACCAGATCACAACGGCCTCAACAGGCTGTATATTCTTTTATCACAGGAAATAACATTTGTTGACTGTTTTGTCTTCTGAACACTTCCTCTCCAATTACTTACTTTCCACACTTTTTCCTGTATTGTCGTTCAATGCCTTCTGGCCTGGGGAAGAAAAATAGGTAAGTATGCTGTACTTTGCTTAATCATGGTTTGTTGCAAAAGAAGTCATGACTGGTTGGGGTTATATAGCCTGAGGTGCCATAAACCCCGGCTGATAAACTGCAAACTGAGATGGCTGAGTCCAACAATTCAACACATTAAGCCGAACGAGCTACATTTCAATATATACAATATATAAATCCAGTTTGTTGGAACAAATTACATCAGTCATAGGTGTTGCTTCTTGAAGAGCGAAACAGGACCAGCCTGAAAGCAGATACCACTTAAAACCAGCATGTAAAAGTGTCACCTAATTCTGCTTCATGTTCATGGAATAGCTTTACAGAAATGAATATTAGGCAAAAAGGTGAAAAACTTTCTAATTATATCCTTACAAATGGCTCAACTTATTATTGTAACCAGCTGGAAGAAACTTGATTTCAGAATTTAAAACTTGGTACTCTAAATTATGGGATATGACACTATCTGAAAAAATAACCTCTAATGCTAATGTTTCAAAGGGAATCATGAGCCCACACATTGCCTGTAGAGAATAAACTACTTGTTTATACAGTACTTTAAATCTTGATATAGATTATCTACCCTCCTACTCAGGTTTTCAGATTTGGAGTCTGTAAACCTTTTAGATAGAATCTCCGTTAGAGTTTTACTCATATAAGAAAGATAAAAAATTTTAATGACACCAAAGACCAGTATCAGTATTAATGTTATGTGTGAATCATTATTTTAAAATTTATTTTCCACACTAGCTTCTTTTTCTAGGTGTGGCTCCTTTTTTAAAAATGTAATTCAGATGATCTTAAAAAAGAAAAACGAAGCCAGCAGTTATTATCTAGCAAATAACAACTGATGTTCAAGCCATTTTAATATTACATCTTTGTCCTTTGGAGCCTTCCTGTAAAGTAACAAGGGGGTCGATGGAGAAAATGAAGATTTCCCTTCCCGTATTTCATATGAGAGGTGAGAGTCCCTTAAGTTGAACAACTCCATCAAAAGCAGAGGTTGTTTCTGAAATCGCGTGTCTTTGATTTTGGCCAGGGATCCCTGTCAATGGGGCTTTGTGGGGCCTTCCTACCTGCGCAGGTAAACATTTTCCTCTTCTTCTGTGTTGCAGAATTTGTGGGCATGTTTGACAGCATCAATGACTCTGGCCCGATCACGGGGTCTCATCGGCAGCTTCTCGAGCTGGCAGTCTGTAGGAAAAATCATCACCATCATCATTTTGGAAAACCAAAAACCATCAGGGAACTAGATCTACACCCGGGGGATCAATGCTGGAGGAGGTCCCTAGAAGTCTAAACAAATCAACACCCACCCCAACATCAAATCAACGTTCAAATCACATTTGATTGAGCATTATTGACCAAGCTTCTATATAAAACATCAAACCACGAGACATTCGATACAACGGCTGGCCTTCTAGCATGGCAACGATCAAGCAGATCTTATAATAATAATTTTATTTCTTACAGCAATGGTGTCTGAACAATATTTGGCAACCTTTTGTTACGTTTCGAAGGGTTTGTTGACTAATAATAAAAATCCACCGATAGATAAATGGAGCTCGTTTACAAGAAGGGGGGAGGAAGATTAACACAAAGTCTGCGAATGATACACTGGAAGCCCAGCTCCACACGGGGCTGATTCATGTCTCCCTTCCAAAAGACTCCAATAACAGGATGGACAAAGCCCGCCTTTGCTCTACGTGCCCCCAATGCCCACCCCCAAATCAGCCCATGGTGCTATTGACCGGCATGAGTCGGGGTTAGGGGACAGGTGCACGCGGGGGACGGCGACCCCCATCACCCGCAGCAGCGACCACGGGGACGAAAACACCTGGAGGGCCACGCCGGGCTGAACCCTTTCGGAACCCGCGGGCAGCCCGCGGAGCTTTGGACTT